TTGTATCCGATAGTCTTTCTTTTCTTTCATTTTCCTTTCATATTTTTTGAATTCCTTCTATGTTCCTGCTTCATCCACAAACGAAAAAGAAAAAACCAGAAAAAAAAATGAAATGAAATATTAACCCTTAAAGCTCTACGTTTAGGGATTATCACTCCAACAATTAAGGAACAAGGTATTAAGTTTGGAACTTCTTAGTCACAAAACTAAGCCCGTAAAAGTTTTGTTACTTGGTTATCAAGAAGGCTCACTTCTACGGCTAAAATAAAAAAAAGTTAAGACTTAGCACTCGGTCGGCTGTTCAAGTTTAGGTAGAATTACCTCAACTCACTAAAAGATACAAACCAGAGATTGTTTTACTCAAGAAAGGAGTTAATTTTCTACTTAGTTATCAACTTCCTAAATCCTGATGGGGAACCAGCCACCACAGTGAAGAAAGTTCCTAGCACGTCTTCCTATTCACACATAAAATTCAAGTTCTAGAAACAGATTCTGAAGAAATGGCTTCAAGTTTTGGACGGACCAAGGGTGCATAAACCCACAGTGATTATTTATCGAGCTTGAAATTGAGCTCGAGCTCAACTCGTTTAACAAACAAACCTACCTCGAGCCCACAAGTAGTACATGAGCTGCTTGGTTCATTTACAGCCGTGAATGAAAGATCAATGAGGCTGCGACAAAGGAATTCTAGGAAATCTAACCCTTCACTGGTTTAGGGACCAATTAAGGTGATACTTGTGAACTACAAATGGGGGCAATGAATCTTCATCATGCACATTATTCATGGTTGAGTAGGACAAAATTAAGGTTTTAAATATCTTAGGGAACTCTCTGAAGCAAATTACAGGTTAATTCAGAGTTATGAAGATCCAATTTTGCAACTGAATTCATCAACTAATTTATGTTACAATTGAAATTTGTAGTTTACTAGTTTTTCCTATTACCATCCCAACATATTGTCCGAACATATACAAGTGCACTCAGCAGTTCATGAAGTTGAGAGGGTGGAAAAAAAAAATGCTTCTTTTTGCTATCAAATGCTAAATTTCATAGAGGAAATTAATGGGAAAACATCAAGCATGAGTTTAATGTAATAATCTTATACCTCTATCCCATTAACATCTGACTGTGAACCTTAAATATCATACACTCAAGCTATTACCTCTACGCTGATCAATCAAGATGACACCACAACCTGCAGGCTGCATGTTTCAATGCCCAAAAACAACAAAAAGCGGGTACACATGTTATGATAATAGACTATATTCTACTACAAAATTAACAATGCCTCAACTTTCCTATTGACTCCATGGTTTGAATCACAATTATTAACATACGTACAAAGAAAGAAACCAAAGGTCCAAAACCAAGGTAGAAATTTGCAAAGTGAAATAAGAGGAGAGATACCCAGATGAAAGCAAAGGACTCGATCGATACCCCACGGTTAAATCGTAAAGGTTAAAATACCAGATGGTCCCTGAACTATCAGTTTTATACCAAAATGATGCTTGAACTTCAAAAAGTACCGAAACAGTTCTTAAATGTTAAATTACAACACCCTTTGAGTCCTTTTGTTATCTTTCCGTTAGATAACGTTAACTCTCCGTTAGTGGCACGTTAAGTTGGTGACATGGCATTTTTTAGCCCATGCACCTTTTTCTAGTGAAAAATGATTTAAAAGAACATTTTTGTTCTACATTTTTAGTATAGTCTTATATATTATTTAATACATAAATCTCTTTTTATATATTTAAAATTAATAATATTAAATTTATTTATTTATTTAATAATATATAAAAATTATATACAAAATTATTTTTATATCACCATCACGCTTTCTATATTGTAACTTATGCATATTAATTTTCTCATTCACGTTAGGCATTTCATCTAGACTCATTCTTTTCCAAATAAATTTATTAATTAATGAATTTACTTAAATTTAATGAGACCTACACATTTTAATAAGTTGCTAGAAAGATCAACAATCCTCAGATACTTTAGATTTCTATAATCATACTTATTTCCTTTCCAAATTTCAGATGCTTTGTCGGCATAGCTTTGTGGATAATATCTATCATCAATATGTGAAGCTAGAAAAGTATGATCAAGGGCTGAGCTCTCCTTTTTAACCAATGCAGTCAGATTACGGATGCACCATGGTATGTTGCCAGATAAATTGTTGTTGGATAGGTCTAGCAGCATAATATGTGTCAACCAACATAGCTGTAAAGGGATGTTTCCACTGAAATTATTGGATCTCAAGATAAGGAAAGTTAGTGAACTTAGCCTTTCACCAATCCAAGCCGGTATTTTTCCAGAGAAGCTATTATAACTCAAGTCCAAAAATTGCAATGCACTGCAAGTTCCTAGAGACCAAGGTATTGCTCCAAAAAAACCGTTGTTGCCCAAACCAAGTGTTTCAAGCCGAAACAAAGATCCAATAGAGTTTGGAATTTTCCCAAATAAATGATTGTTAGTCAAATTCAAAATCACCAGACTTGTCCATCGTGTCATGCAATCAAGAAACTTTCCAGATGGTTGATTGTGCGAAACATCAAGCAACTCAAGTTTCCCACCAGTTATAGTACAAAGGGATGAAATTGACCCAAAGAACCTATTTTCTGATAGGTTTATGGATGTGACATTAACAGGGAATACTGGTAATGGACACTCCAGCTTATTTCTACTTAAATCTATTGCTTGAGAACCAGAAAATTTTGTTGACAAATTTGGCAAAATTCCATGGATCTGGTTGTAAGAAAAATTTACATGAACTGCTCTAAAAGATAGGTTCCAAAACCACTTTGGAATGCTATCTGAAATCCCATTTCCTGAAATATCAAGAAAAGAGAAGTTTCTTAATTTGGGTCTGTAACCAGCTTGGAAACTTAGGGCCCAACTTGCACGAACCAAGTCTTATATAATCCAATTGAAATGGAGGAATCCAGTCACTGCTAAAGTTGATGCTCAAAGGATTAAAAGACATGTACATGTTCCGTAACTTGGATAGTGTTGAGAAGTGTGCCTCCGTGATCACTCCATTAAAAGAATTGAAAGGTATATATAAGTACTCAAGCTTTGACAGGAGTCCAATTCTTTTGGATAAAGTGCCACTCAACTTATTGTTTGTAAGATTCAAGAATCACAATGATGAGATGTTTTGGATTAGATCAGGCAGAGGTCCCTTAATTTTATTATGATCTAAATACAAATCTTCGACAGATAGTTGTAGGCATCCAAATTAGTTACGAATGAGTTAAGGAAGCATTCCTTCAAGATTGTTATGAGAAAGGTATAGGTGCTTTAATTTGCACAAGTTCCCAAAGGATTCTGGATGTTGGAAATTAGATCCTAGTTTTTAGTCATTATCTCTATAATTTAGGAAGTTTAAGTTATTTATTTGTTTGTCCTATTATTTAGGTTGTTAGGTTATTATCATTTAAAATAAACTAAATAAGATTGATTAGTTATCTTTTTAGATAATGTTATCTTGTAAAACCTATTTAAAGGCTAGTTGATTTTCATTTTAATGTGAGTTTGATTTTCACTCCATTTTCTTCTTCTCTGGATTTCTTTGGTTTTTAACATTTGGTATCAGAGCCTATTCCCGACAAATTCCATGGCTTCCAAAAATTATATCCAACCCTCAATCCCTCATTTTGATAGGCATCACTACGACCATTGGAGTATGTTGACGGAGAATTTTCTCCAATCCAAAGAGTATCGGATAATTGTTGAAGTTGGAGTTCCAAAACCAACAGTAGGTACAGATGATGCACAGAGGGCAGAAATTGAGAAGGAAAAGTTGAAAGATCTCAAGGCTAAGAATTATTTATTCCAAGCCATAGATCGAGCTATCTTGGAAACAATCCTTCATAAGTCTACTTCCAAGACTATTTGGGATTCCATGTAGAAGAAGTACCAAGGGAATGAAAGAGCAAAGCAGCAGCAATGCCAGGCTTTGCAAGCAGAATTCAAAAGTCTACAAATGTAGATTGGTGAATCTGTAAATGATTATTTTTCAAAGATGATGGCAATCACAAACAAGATGAAGATCCACGGTGAAAATCTGGAGGATGTTGCCATAGTTGAGAAAATCCTTCAATACATGACAACAAAATTCAATTATGTTGTTTGTTCAATTGAGGAGTCAAATGATATTGAGGCTCTTTCCCTTGATGAGTTGCAGAACTAGTTGTTAATTCATGAGCGGAAGATAAACCGCCAAGACAAGCAAGAGCAGCAGTGCAAATTTCGCAGATGCAAGTCTTGTAGACCATAGTTAAGTCAAGGGCTATAGGTCAAGGAAAAGGAAACTAGAAAGGCAAATCAAGATCTAGCAGACCAAGACCTGACATACTGGAGGAAAGTTCAACCACTAGAAATCAAAAGAGGTGGTAAAACAGAAATTATCAAACTGTAGATAACAAATCAAAATCTGCAGAAAGGCAACTATTGAATGCTTCAGATGTCATAAGTATGGCCATTATCGTTCTGAGTGCCGTGCTAATCTGAATAAAGGAGAAAGTTCCAATTTTGCAGAACACAATGAGAAGAATGGTGATTCCTCTCTATTCATGGTCTATCATCCTAAAGAAGTTAGCAAGAAGAATGTGTGGTATCTAAATACTAGCTGCAGCAACCACATGTGTGGAGACAAATCTGCATTTTTAGATCTCGATGAGTCTTTTCAAGACAAGGTGAAATTTGGTGATAATTCCATTATTGTA